GATTTGATGTGATGCTTGTTCCTCAGGAATGTTTTTAGTGACAAAAAAAAAGTGTGGGAGTTATATGTTTCTATGAACGAATGTAGAAGTGAGAATATATATGATTGTGAAAGGAGATAGGGTTATAGTTCTAAAAGTAGAAATATTTTTGAGTGTGCTGCTTTATTGTAAGATAATTTTATTAGGAGAAGGTTAATTATAAAGGAATATTAAGTACTGTACATGAGATAAATATTTTTAACACTCTTGCTTCTAAGAACGTAAATATTAGATGTAACTATGATATGTGCAAAAGAATGTAAAGGTAAAATGTTAAATTATGGCAAGCGATGGGTGTGTGTTTTAAAAAAAAAACTCATGTAGTGAGTGTAATAAAAGTTAGTTAAATGTTACCTATTGATGTGGTGGTCAGAGTTCATTGGTATAAACCCTGAAGGTGGAAGAATCTTACTATAGAACATTATACTTCAAATAACCAGATAGATTATCTAGTTTGTGCCTTAAGTTTCAAATTTGAAATAAGCTATTATTATTCCCTAAGTGCTGTCTGTTGACTTTTTTAGTTTTATAATAAGTATTTTGTGCAAAACAGACATGTAACATAATACTTTATTGTTTTTTTAAAAAAAATCAAGAAGGAAGCATAGGTTTCAGGACCTTTAGACAAGATCAGAAATAAAAGCCTAAGAGATATTACCATTCCCTTTCTCTGTAAAGTAGCCTTTATGGCTCTCAGCCTCATGTAGATAGACATTAAGATCTAGAAAATTATGCAAAATATAATTTTGCTTGATTAGACTGTGGAAAAGGAATTGAGAAGGGAAGTTATTTTACAGACTTGAGGATGTAAAATTTGTTGGACTAGGTGACTTGTTAAATGTGAGTAGTAAGAGGGAGAGATTATAAGGATAAAACTTGGGCTTCTGGGTGGGAGTATGGAGCACTAAATGACATACAGTGATAAAGCATTTTCCCATCTTCACCAGGGAGGGAAGGCTATGGGCTCGCCCACTCCAGTGACCCCTTGTTTAAATACTTTAGTGAGTTCTTTAAAGTCCATGGAATCCATGATCTTGTACATGGAAAAAAATACTCATCACTGCTCATAATTTAATTAAAGGTGTATTAAACCTACACTCATCTAACACAGTAACTTCAAAACTGAAAATTTTTAAACATTTAGACTTGTTTATAGCTTAAACAAGTTAAATTCTCCTTTATAGTTTAAATTAGAATTATAATTAACGTGACTGTAATACTTCATGATTGCAAAATTTAGTACACTTAAATCTATTTTAAAATATTAACCCATTGGTTTAATTAATTTACTCTTTCTGTACTTGTTTTTTTGTATCTTCTTGGGATTATAGTGATCCTCCCAGATTCTTATTTCTGTGCTTTCCCAGGTTTATAGTAATCTTTCCATACCTTCCTAGGGTTACAATAATTTTACCACTACCAAAACAAAACAAAATTTCAGGTAAGTCAAGATTTAGCGTTTTTTGATAAGTTTGATTCTCAGCCAAAACACAAGATTTGGTTATGCCTTAGATGATTTAAAAGCTGTGTTGGTGTGCACTGAGTCCCTTCTATATTAAACTTTACCTGCTGAGTTAATGGGATTTTTTTTTAAGCTCATGCCTGTCTCATAGATTTTTAGTTTCTTGCAACCTGGAGTTGTCCTTAAGTGAAATACTCCCATGTTCTGTTTTCATTATGAGTTGTCCTTTTCTGGTAGCTTTATTTTTTATTTTATTTTATTTTTATAATTTTTTAAAATTTTTTTTAAATTTTATTTATTCATGATAGGCACACAGTGAGAGAGAGAGAGAGAGAGAGAGAGAGAGAGAGAGAGAGGCAGAGACACAGGCAGAGGGAGAAGCAGGCTCCATGCACCGGGAGCCCGACGTGGGACTTGATCCCCGGTCTCCAGGATCACGCCCTAGGCCAAAGGCAGGCGCCAAACTGCTGCGCCACCTAGGGATCCCCTTCTGGTAGTTTTATTAACATGATTTAATACATTTCATCTCCCAAGAGGTCAGGGATCATTAGGTCTGTACAGTTAGCTCTTTTTAGGAATTTCACTAATTCATCCAGTTAGAGCTCACAGTTTCTGCTTGGTCATTGTGTGACACGGATGCTCATCACAACTGGGTCTCCTTTTTAAATGGTGTGTGTGTGTGTGTGTGTGTGTGTGTGTGTGAGAGAGAGAGAGAGAGAGAGAGAGAACCTGTGCTGAATCCACCTCTTGTGGATTCTTGGTCCCTATCCTGCTCCTCTGGAACTATTTGGCTTAGCCCCCAGTTCCCTGTATCTACCCCTTCCTCCATGTACCTAAGCAAAAAAGTATACAGCTATACTTCAGAAACAGACATGTACTTAATAGGAGAAACAAACCTCTAGATGTTAATGCCAACCTATTAACTGTAATTACTACAAATGACCTAATTATTATAATAACTTATTTTCACCCTTCTTTACAACTATATTTTTATATATTTTTAATTTTTCCTTTTGTATCTTATTATGAAGCCATGGTGTATCATAGATTCAATATGTTCCATTCAGCTATAATTATTATTCTCTATTTAATGTTCCAATTGTGACAGCCTGGCTAACCTCAAATTGGCTTCTTTGTTCTTTCAGCACTACCCTGGATATTTAAAAAAAAAAAAAAAACAACTTCTTGTTCTCTGACAAGATGTTCCAGGCCCATCTCTTGATTTTTTTTTTTTCTACCCTAAGACATGCAACTAGTACTCTCCCCAGAACTCTGGTTCCTTTTCACAGAGGATAGACAATTGGAAATAACATATGTGAGCTTAAACACATTGAAGAGCACTGAAAAGCTCAATTGTGCTTGTATTTATCTGAACATTATTGATCAAATTATCTTCATGTAGTCTTTTTAATGCTTTGTACATACAATTTCTATGTATATACAGTTTCTTTACTGATACCCTAAAATATTACTTGCAAACAAATTAATCTTGAGAGTAATGTTTCTGTAAACAGCACATCAGTACTTTCAAGTGTGGTTATTTATTTTGCTCACCACATAATTTAGACACTATCAGATTTTTAAATTTACTTTTCAGGACTTTTCTTTTTATATTTACAGTATCTCTAAATTTTTACAAAGATGGAACTATTTAATTATCTTCTAAGAATGCATTAGCCTCTTCTGAGAAGTGGGAAAAAGTCTTGTCCTAGAGTTAGAAACACACCTAATGGTATAACTTGCTTTAAATATATACAACTTTGGGGGCACCTGGGTGGCTCAGTCAGTTATGCATCTGCTTTTTGGCTCAGGTCATGATCTCAGGTCCTGGGACCAAGCCCCACATCAGGCTCCTTGCTCAGTGAGGAGTCTTCCTCTCCCTCTGCCCCTCCCCCTGCTGATACTCTCTCTCTCTCTCTCTCTCTCTCTCTAATAAACAAAATCTTTAAAAAATATAAATAAAATGGAGAGTATGATGGGGAGAAGCTGAGAGAAGGTGAAAAATGTATGGCAAAGAAATAGGAAGCTATTGCAGTGAACCAGGTGAGAGAGGAGAGTGTCTTAGACTAAAGTAGCATCAGTGGGGATTTGAGAGCCATATATTTTTAATTTTTATTTTGAAATAGGCAAGAAGTTGCAAAGACATTCTAGAGAAGTCTCAAGTACTTTTTACCAAGTTTCCCTCAATGGTTGCATCTCCTATAACTATAATATGATATAAAAAGCTAGAGTTTGATATTGGATACACAGTACATGTATATCCTTCCGTGTCATTTTACCCCACAGGAACCCTGCTTCTCCCTCTCCCTCTCTCTCTGCCACTCCCCCTGCTTGTCTTCTCTCAAATAAATTAATAAAGTCTTTAAAAATATGTGTATGCAAATCCATATATACAAATAGAGTGCTACTTTTCTCTGGAAAGCATTCTTCATTTTACAGAGAACTCAAACTGTGGTTCATTTTCCAGTCTTTTATCTTTCCATTTGTTTTCTTCTAAATTAGGGATCAAACTCAAATACCCACAGGCATATAAACAAGCCTAATAAGGACTATAATAAGCTAGGGAGTGCCGATGTCTTTGTAATGTGAGGAAATAGTAATGATCATTTCTTCATTCTAGTTAATTTTTACTATGGAGATACCCAAGATCCCTTCTTGCCAGTGCTTGAGATATATCAAGAGAAGCAAGAAATTTGAGGATTTTGTTTATATTCTCTCAGTGTTTACATCTTGACATTTAATTCCGATTTGATTTGATTTGATTGATTTTAGAGAGAGTGGGCACAAGGGAGAGGGTGGGGAGGGGCAGAGGGAGAAACTCTGAAGCAGACTCCCCACTGAGCGTGGATTCAGACATGTGGGGCTCAGTCTCCTGACCCTGAGATTATGACATGAGCTGAAACCAAGAGTCGGATACCTACAGCTAAGCCACCCAGGCGCCCCTAATTCAGATTTTAAAAACCTAGTTGGATACTAGTCCTTGGCCAGGACTTTGCACCTTAGACTTATGTAATTTGAATATCAGAATCAAGCCCCATATTAAGTAGTTGATAAAGGACACACCTTTTGCACCCCGTCTGTTACAATCCATTTCTCTCTCAGCATCACTGGATGTAGTCAGTTGCAGTTCTTTGGTCTTTGAAAGACTGTGTGTCATTTCTGAATGAAAACAGTTGAGAAAAAGAAATATTGTTTGGATCTGAGCATGTCTGTTGCTGTTTTCCTCCTGAAAACCTTGGAAATTACAGTTCCTTCCAAGTCCTCAGTCCATATCTTACTTTGCCTCCATCCTGGGACTGTGCTGGGAAAGTTGCAGGGAAGCAGTAGGAGGTCGGTGTCACCATCTAGGGGGCTACTCTCTAGTGGGTTCTTTATCTTCTTAGAGAATAGAATTTGCTGTCTGGGTTTCTAGATGGCCTAGGTTTCTAAAAATAGCTCTAAAATGTTGTTTTTATTTCTCTCTGTGTGTGTCTCTCTTCCCCATACCCCTGGTTTTTAGGTTTTCAAAACAAAAACAGAGTTGCAATCTTGGCAGAACTGGACAAAGAGAAAAGAAAATTACTAATGCAGAACCAGTCTTCAACTAATCATCCTGGAGCGAGGTATTGAAGAATAATGTGGTTTTTATATTTAGTGATATAAAAAATGTCTTGGACAAAATACTTCATGTGGGTTGGCAGACATTTGTCTCTCTCACATTGGAATTTACACATTATGTTTGGTTTCCTAGTTAGATTTGAAAAAATTAGATGAATTGATTAGATCTTAAATAATTAAATTCTAACCAGAATATTTAATGTTCCCCACAGCCTACTTTAAAAAAAAACGAAAAGGGTTTTGTGTGGTTTTGGTTTGTTACTGATATAATTGTCAACATCCCACTTTTTAAGCATTCTGCAAAGCAGGGAATGTTTAGGTGGCTTAATCTTTATCGTGTTTGGTTTCTGCCTTCTTACATGACATTTAGCCACCACCCTGCCTTCCCTCCCCTCCTTTTTTTTTTTTTTTATTAAATATTTTACTTACTTATTCATGAGAGACACAAAGAGAGGCAGAGACACAGGCAGAGGGAGAAGCAGGCTCCCTGTGGGGAGCCAGATGCAGGACTTGATCCCAGGACCCTGGGATCACGCCCTGAGTCAAAGGCAAATGCTCAACCACTGAGCCACCCAGGCAGTCACTTTTCCTAAGAACAGGTGCTCACCTCAGTCCCTTGTAATCTCATTGTAGCTAAAATCTGGTAGACCAAGATCCTTCCCTTATTAGATATCTGAGCACTGTTTGACACCACTGATCACTCCCTCCTTCCTAAAATACTCTTTCCTTGGCTTCCACACATTCACTGTCACACAGTTGTGATTTCTTTTGTAGACGTTTCTCCACTCCTATCTCATGAATGTCAGTGCCCCTCAGAGCTCAGTTTTCCATCCAGTTGTGTCTTCTCACATCTTTTCACCAGTTGCATCTACTTTCACAGCCTTTTTTATATGCTGTGAAACTTTCATCTAGTCTTTTCTCCCAAGTCCCAAATCGCCTCTTGGACACCTCCACCCCTGTGTCCTCTAGGCATTTCAAACTTCGTATGGCCCAAGCTGAACTCATCTTCCCTTCCCAAGCTCTGACTAACCACCTACTATTCTTGGGCTTCTTGTCTCAGTGAATGGCACAGATCTCGAAGTCAGAAGCATGGACTTTGTTTATTATTTCATTTCATTTCCATCTTCAAGCATTTGCCATTCTCTTATGTTTATACTTTGAAATGTGTCTCAAATCTGCCTATTTTTCTTCATTGCTACTGATGCCACCCTAGCCCTGATGCCTGCTACTCCCATTTCTTGCCTCAATTACTATAGCTGCTTCCTCTGTATTTCCCGTAGTCTTCAGTCCTCCTGAATATATTTATCAGTTGTGTCATGTTTTAATCTGGAAATCGAGAAAATTGGGATAAGCATTAGGATGTATATGAACCAGGAGTGTGACGGGCAGGTGCTTCCAGAGTGGCTTCATACAGGTGAGATGGTTCCAGTGCAGCTTCATGCAGCAGCTCAGTATGTGAGCAGTGCTCTGGACTCCCTCCAATTCTTCTTTCTGCCTTTCCCTGGGGGTCGGCAGCTCCCTAGTGGTCAAAATATGACTGCAGTAGTCTCTGCCTCACCCTACACTGAGCCACCTATCGAGACCAAAGCCAGAAAGGTTCCTGTCCTATGTTCCTTTTGTAAGAGGCCAGAGAATGTCCTCAGAAGCCTTCCAGCAGACGGCCCATTGAGTCTAGTTGCCCAGAATTGTGTATCTTTCTCTTGCCTAAACCAGAAACCAGCAGGGGGAATGGCATTGTCTTACACCAATCAAAGTTCATCCCCTGAGGGATGAGCCTGGCCAACCCTGAGGCATGGGACCAACAATAATTGAACTAAGTTTGGATTCTATTAGCAAGACAGTAGGGGGATAAATTGTTATTGAGGAGGTGACCAGCACTGTGTGTCTAGCAGTGGTCTTTCTTAGCCATCATGTGGTACTTGTGATCATGTCACTCCTCTGCTTATTATACTCTCTGGGTATCTCTTTTTACTGTGAGGATAAGGTCTGTATTTCTTAATTTATTTTCACAAGGCTCTTCATACCCTGTACCTGCCTTTTACCCCAATGTCATTTTTTGCCAACCCTCTTCACCTCCTCTCAACCCTGACCTCCGGTCCTGTTGAGCTCTTAATTTCTTCAGATACGCCAAGGTCTTTTGCCCTGGGCTTTCGCGTGCTGTACCTTCTGCTTGAAATATTCAGTGCTTCCGTTTTCATCACAAATGTAGCTTTATGATAAGCTGGAGTACCTCGAATCAGTTTGAAAGTTGGGGACCATAAATCATCAAAAAAATAATAATAAATAGAGGTAATTTGGAGCCCCAGTAAATAACATAGGCTTTTGCCATATAAATTAAACAGTGGGAGAAGGAAAAAAAAAGACTTCTTCTGGAAGGCCTTTTTCTATCCCTATAAAGAATATATAATGAAAAATATAATTCAGAAGTAAGGAAGTTTCTACCTTCAACAGCCAAATAACTAAGATTCCCATTTTAGCATTGCACTCTCCAGACCCTCTCTTAATAAGGACTTCCGGGATCATGCTGAGCAGCAGCATATTGCAGCCCAACAAAAGGCAGCTTTGCAGGTGAGCAAAGTGTAACTGACAGTCTTGTCTTGTTGGAGATTTCCTGGGCCTTGGAAGCCAGCACAATTCCTATTTTGTATTTCAGTGGAGCAGTATCAATAAAAATGTTCCACACATAATTGCAATGGTTTTCTGATGTTCAGTCATGCCCAAAGGATTTGAAGGACCAATACAGCAGTGATGAAAGTGACTTTTATGGTTTTGACACAGTCATGATTGATTCTTTGCTGTACCTGGCAAGAGACTGCTTTGTGTACAAAAGAGTTTAGGATATTGGGATGGACAGAATGATCTTAAAAGCTGAACTGGCCGGTTTACACTTTTTTTTTTTTTTTTTCAAATTTGTCATGCTGTCATACCCCTTGATAATCTTACTGGTTTATTGTTGTTTGGCTTCTTTTTCAATGGTCAGCATACCACGTTGCGCAGGAAATGCTTAAAGACTAACTCCTTCCATAGGAATATGATAATCCATCTGCTTAAAAAAATATTGTTCTTCATAGTAATGAACAACAGTTTTAGTATTAGAGTGATCTTGGATAGTTTTAACTATCCTTGGATAATTTAAACATTCCCAGAGCCCTTGAACAAGCCATCATTACCTGTGCTTTTAAACCTTAGAATCTCAGAATTGGAAGAGACATAAAAGATCATCTCACTTAAGGCAACCTAAAAACAGTCTTCCTTTCTGTAGTGAGAGAGGGAGGTCACTGGTGGTTTTCTGTTACTTACATTCCAACAGTCTCTACCAAATGTTGGTTATCTTCATCACAAGTAATCAGCTCCCTTCCCCACCCCACTCTATTCCCCTTCTTTCTTAAGCTCCTACTTTGTTGATCAAGAGCAGATTTGGGGGATCTTTGCTGCAAAGTTCTCCCCACTCCAAGGAACAAAGTAATTCATGCCTTTGACTTGTTATTGACTTCAGAGAATCACAGAGGACAGAGTGGGTCTGATAAATGAGTGCCTGGTACAGCTTGTTAATAAAAATACTTTATTACTGTCCATCTCCTATGTATTTAAAACAAAATTAAGCAGCAACAGAACTGATTTTTATATCTTAAATTTATCTAATTTGGTCTTAAGCACTCAAAAAGGATAAGTAATTTGAATACCTTGGTTGAAAAAATGTGATTTTTAATAGCTTAATTGCCTTTTTTTTTTTTTTAAACTCTTGCCTAGCATGCACATGCACACTCATCTGGATACTTCATAACTCAAGACTCTGCATTTGGGAATCTTATTCTTCCCGTCTTACCTCGCCTTGACCCAGAATGAAGAAAATATTTGTAACAAAAGTAACTCTAATATCGGATGCCAAAGCTACTATCATTTAGTGCTATACAAACTATGACTTTCAGAATTTTGGTGAACTTTTATACTTTTTGCTTCTTTAAAAGAAAGGCATGCATAAGTCAAAGCAGAAAAGGAGAGTCACCAGAAGGATGAGAGTTTTGGGAGCTATATTACCTGAGGAACTGATGATGCTACTTGTGACTGTTCTGGAACACAGTTTGATTTTTGACTCTAAATCAGACTCTGAATTGGATGGTCACATAAATTCACCCCCCACCCCCATTGGACTAAATATATCATTGTCCACAGTAGACTTTCACGAACATTAATAGTACTTCACCTTAAAGAAATGAGGGTGCTTTTAAAAATGTGAACCAATAGGCTTAAATAAGTTACATTCCTATTTGCTGTTTGTAGAATTTATATTCAACACATCGGCCTGAAATATTCTCTGACTCGTAACTCCCTTCTTCTCCATTTTCAAAAAAAATCTAAGACAAGACTAAGTTACCAACCAGTCTTAAAAATCTTTTATAAACCCATGCTACTATAAATTATGTGACTAAATGATATTAAAAATAATTATAAGAAATATGGTGGCTTTAAAATTTGTACGTGCTTTTATTATTTAGTGTTAATACACATATGGTGTCCCCATGTTTTATTGTCCATTTTTGTTCTAATTAAAAAACATCCTCATTAAAAAGGGGCAAGCTGAGCCCCTTTTTAATTACTCTAAGGAGTTAGGTTAAGTTTCTCAACATGACACATCTTTAAGAGAATCTGGGCTGCTTAGTTAAGTATGCAGTCCTCCCACCTTACTGTAGTCCTAGAGAATTACAATCTCTAATTCAAGACAAAGTCTGAAAACCATGGGTAGGGAACTCAATTTTCCTTATATCTATATGTCGTAGATATATAAACTCATAGGTTTCTATGCCCTTGAAACTTAGCTAAAATTAGCTAAAATCTACGTCTTTTTTTTACCTTTAATAGGATTGAAATTATATTTTATACTGTATCACAGTTGCAGTATTTAATATAACTACTTGTAATTGACCTTGTATTAACCTTGAGTCCCCATCATCTCTGGTGGTAGGATGAAATTTAAACTTAAAATTCCAGTTTGGGTCAATATTTAATTGAAGTTCATCTCCCTTTTCAAAGAGTTTCTTTGCTTCTTCCCTAGATATTTGCACTTACCACATAGCGGTTGGGTTAACGGTGTGTTAACCCAAACTAATTAAAGCAGGAGTGGAGAATTCTGGACTTGGCTGTGCCTTTTAGATTCTTCCTCTTGAGAATTTGAACTGATTTTCTACGTTTGGGTGAGGCGACAGCTGTTCCCATTGTAATGATCACTGTCACAGCAAAGGCACCCTTACTCCCCGCTGCTGAGGAGGTCCCCAGCTGCCTCTGCTCCTGTCCTGCCTCAGGTCCATCCCGCTCTTCTTGAGCCTTCTACAGGACCCCTCATTTTCTTGAATTGTTTTGACAGTGTCTGTTCTCTGCAACCCATGACCTACTGACTGGCATGGTTCTAAATCTATCTACTGATGCTAAGGAGTTTTTTTTGGATTGTGTACTTTTTATGCTGTTGAAGCCTCAACCTAATGTGTGACTTTTATAACCTAGGTAAAGATGTTTTTTTCAGTGGTATCTTTTCTAATCTCTCCGCCTTTTAAATAGATGCTGTTAAATCCTGTAGCCCTAGTGCTGGTAAGCACTTCCTCCACCCCCTCTCCTGCGAGTCCCTTACAAATTCAGGTCCACTCCATATGCATTTTGTTTTTAAGATTTTATTCATTCATGAGAGACACACAGAGAGAGGCAGAGACACAAGCAGAGGGAGAAGCAGGCCCCCTGCAGGGAGGCTGATGTGGGACTCGATCCCGGGACCCCAGGATCACAACCTGAACCAAGGCAGACCCTCAACCACTGAGACACTCAGGCGCCCCACTGTCATATGGAGGGGAGTTGGGGAAGATGAGAAAGCTGAGACCTGCTCCTAAGGAGGTCACAGTGGAAGGAGCCTGCTGTTGTGAGGCAGAAAGGATGAAGGAAACCAGAGCACAGAGCGCTGCACAAGAGGCACCCAGGGCACACAGCAGTCTAGACAGGCCTGCAAGTTGCAAGTATTGGTACGATTTTACCTGGAAGGGCAGGAAGAGCTGCTCCAGACAAAGGTGAGGGTCTTCCAAAAAGTAGTGACTAAGACCCTTGGGAAGACTGCAGAGGCTGATGGGGAAAGCCACGGGCTATCAGAAACCCTGAGGTGATGCTTCCGTGTTGCTGCCCCACCCCCCTCCCCGCAACTGGGTGACTCATTTCCCCGCTCTCGGCCTGTCACTCTGTCTCACCTGTGAAGTAGGAACAGCACACACTCTGCCTACCTTATAAATTGTCTAGACCAGTGTGCAGGCTTCAACCTGTTACTGAAATGAGAAGCCGACTTAATGGCTTAATGGAATGTGACCAGCATTTATTTTTTTTTCTTTGAAAAATACGAAGCATGAGAGTACATGATGTGTTGTAATAACATGGTTTTGTTTCACTAACCTTCTGTTTCTGTGTGTTTTGTGTGTGTTTTACTTTGTTATATGTTGTACCAGTAGGTAAGGTCTTTGAGGCAAGGATTTGTGTTTCCTTCCCTCCCTTCCTCTTGGTTCATGGCTGTATTCTGCTTAGACTAGTATTTGGCATATAGTAGGAGACCAGGACCTGCATATTGAAGGAATGAATGAATGAACATATATGAGTTGGGTCATGATGGAAAGGGTTTTGTTTTTGTTTTTTTTTACTGTGAGTCATGGCAAAAAAAGGTTGTGAAAGCCAGTGCTCAATAATCCAGATGATAGAGGGTGCCTGGGGGCTCAATCTGACTCTTGGTTTTGGCTCAGGTCATGATCTCAGGGTTGTGAGATCGAGCCCCATGTCGGGCTCTGCGCTCAGCATGGAATCTGCTTGAGATTCTCTCAGTCTTCTCTAAAATAAACGAATCATCATCATAATACAAATGATAGTGCTTTGTATGATTCTGGAATTTAAACTGAAATGACTTCATAATTTCAAAGAGATTTTTCCCCCCTGAACAATCTATAAAATGTCTCATTAAGTTATCTCTGGTCTTTCCTTCACTTTGGCAATAGAAACTCAGCCTTTCTGGGAGTTTAAGGCCCACCAAGGCAAGGGTTTTGGCAAATATGGTTACACTGAGAATAGAAGATCAAACTAGAGAATGTCAAGTCATTGGTGCAGATGCCCCCACTACGAGCATCCCTCCTGAGTCCCGTTCAGCATCAGCTCAGCCCATGTTTACTGAATGCTGTTCTTCACCTCTGTATGCATAGCGGACACAATTCTTTTTAAATGAGCAAATGCAGAACTTCACTGTCCTCAACCTGAGAATCTAGAGCGGGTCAGACCAGCACGCTAGGAGGTAACACTGATTGCACCTTCCTAGTGAGAGGATGAACCTGGCTAGGCCACGGAAGCCTACATTGGGATAAGCATTTGGGGGGTACCTGGCCGGCCCAGTCGGTGGAGCATATGACCCTCGATCATTGGGGTCATGAGTTCGAGCCCCACATTGGGTATAGAGATTGCTTCAGTAAGTGGATCTTTATTTAAAAAGAAGAAGCATTTGAACTTGGCTTTTGAAAGAAGAGACTCTCAGCCAGGAAAGATAGGAGAGCAACCGTGAAAGCAAAGGAAGAGCCTGCACAAAAGCAGAGCAGACATAGGGGCCATCTTGAAGCACCAAAAGTCCAATTTGGCTGGTCTTGTGTGGATAGATTTGGACAAATTTGTATACTGTGATAATCAGAAGTGAGGCCAAAGGCGCTGTGGGACTCGTCCTTCCAGAGAAGCTAAGGCCGCACTGGGGTGAGGCCCTCACTTCATCCAGCGACTGGCGCCAGCCCCGGGCCCAGCAGCACTTGCCCGCACCATGGCCTCCATCTCAGAGCTCGCCTGCACCTACTTGGCCCTCATCCCGCACAATGATGAGCTGACGGTCACTAAAGATAAGATCAGTGCCCTCGTTAAAGCAGCAGGTGTAAATGCTGACCCTCTCCAGCCGGACTTGCTGGCAAAGGTCGCGGCCAGTGTCTACATGGGGAGCCTCGTCTGCGATGCAGGGGCTGGTGGACCTGCCCCAGCAGGACATCCCCCCCCCACCACCACCCCACTGAGGAGAAGAGAGTGGAAGCAGGAATCAAGGAGTCGGATGATGACGTGGGTTTTGGTCTTTTTTGACTAACCCTCTTCTGTAACCCGTTCAATAAAAAGCTGAACCCCCTTTTTTTGGATATATTTCAAACATTCATTCAACTAATCTCTACACCCAATGTAGGGCTCATTTTTTTTGAAAGGGGGAGGGGACATGCTGATCTGGGTCATTTTTGCCACAGCCAGTGTACAGCACGTGGCATTTTGCAGACCACAGGAATTAGTTCAGGATTAGACACGTTAACCAAATTCAACCCAAATGAGACTCCAGGAGAGATTTGCTGGGCTGATGGAAAAGACACGTTTTCACCTTTGAGAATGCTAACAAAAGGGAGTCTCCCTCTAGATGTGTAAAAGGAAATACACACCTGTATGTTTATAGATAATTTATATTTACGTAGTGACCATAGTGACCGTGAGATGGAACAAGTCTCAGAATGAAGCCACTGCCATATAAGGGGTGGCAGAGAGAAAGTAGCTGGGTCCTTGATGCCATCATTGAGTTGCCGAGTCAAACAATCCCTAAAATATGCAACCTTCCTCTGGGATTTCCAGTCATGGGAGGTAATCCTTATTTTTATTTGCACTGACTCAGCCGCATGCCACACCGCTAGGCAGGGGGGAAGCAGAACTGGAACCCGAATCTCTCACCCACACCTCCTCCTGCAGTCTTCCGTGTCACCACAGTTAGTCACCTGTGCCCTCCCTCCCCTGCACTTAGTTGCCTGCCCGGCACCTGCGGACCTGAACCCATCCACGCCATGTCCCTTCCCAATCACCCTACCGTGAGCTC